GATCTAACTATTTCTGACGAACAGAGAGTGACTTCCCCCCTCGACACCTCTCTTAACTGTATGGCCCCTCAAAAGGTGATAGGGTCACCGCCCCGACAACAGCTACGTCGGGCGAGATGGTTATGCCTTCCACCCTCGGCATAAGTTCAATGGCCTCAAGCCCCCCCTGGTCACAGAGCAATTGCTCCAGCACCGGCCAATGTCATCCCACCCCCCCTTTCTAGTTAGACTTTCCAGTTTGAACCGCCGTTCCTTCGTCTAGGTGAGCCCCCCACTTCCCACCTGCCTCGAATTCGACCTTCCCCCTTTTGATTTTCAAAACCAGACTAGGACAAATTACTTGAGAAAAAAACTATTTAACAAATACACATGAATACAATTTTCGAAAGCGTTGAATTCAAACCAGCAATTAAGACTAATTTGCTAAGTAAAAGTTGAGCAACATCAAAATCAGAAAATTCAACGTAGTACAGATAAGATTGAACAAGGAAAATCGCTCAAACCGAATATACGGTTTGATGACTTAGAAAATATAAGTGGAAAATCCAAGTAGATAAACACAATAGAAAATCGAATCTGATGTCCAACCGGGCTTTCGACTCTGGTTTCCAGAACCCAAGGTTCCGGAAATCGCTCAGACCGTAAATCATGAAAAATGCTTAGACAGTAAATCCGAACCGTAATCAAGAGTTACAAAGCAGAAAAAACAGATTGACAATCAAACTTTTCAGCAAACATACAAATTATCATTGGGATATACCATCAACTACCCTAATTAGGACTTTTACCAATACTATGAAAATTTGCAATTGAGTTAACAGACCAAAATTCATGGAAAATTCCAACACTAATTTTTTATTTTTTTTTTACAGAATCACTGACGATTGACAGTAGTACATAAAACTCACGATTAGGATTCAAACACTAGATTAACTAATCAAGAAAAATTTGTCCACACAACCCTAAGTATGGTCACCGGACTCCAGACGAAACGATAGGAGCAACAAGCCACTAAATAATCCCTCTTCCTTTTTCTTCAACAACCCCCATCTTACCACAACTCCCTCAAACCCTACCCCAGCATTTTCGGGGGAGGATAACCACCTTACTAGCACCTAGGCTCTGAGCAACGCTAGCACCGAAAACATTAACGGCCTTCTTCCGTTTCCCAAAAGAAACCAGAAAAAAGTGTGGCTCTCCCTCACCAAGCCCGTTAGCGAGGCGCCACCGGAGGTTCAAGCATCCATCCATAACCACTTACCACCCTGTTGAAGAAGAAAGGAGAGAAGACCTTGTGACGAACCACTTTCTGTAACGCGCGACTTCCTGCGCGGTTGCCACGAGGGGTCCTAAGCTGGGAAGATTGGGCCAATTACGGGAAATCGGGA